ATATATCAAATCTTTTGTGATATGAAAATGTCAGATCTAATAGGAATTTAATAATAAATTGCAAAAACTATTCGTCAAGTTCCATCTGAACTTTATCTACTACAGATTCTTTTAAATCACTATAGGATCACATTGCCAATATAATTGCTGATAAATTAATTGCAGATGTAAATAAAAGGCTTAATAAGAAAATCACATTTGATCAGATTAAACAATTCATCAATCAACAAGTATTATAATCTGATCAAAATAAGCTCATAGATTGGCTTATAAGAAACTAATCTAAAGCGACATAATATATCTGGCTGCTTTAAATATTTTATTATTACAATATTAATAATATTGAAGATAATAATACCAAATCATTTGAATTATTTTTAAAAGTATCAGAAAAACATTATTCTATAGCTCAAATTTATCTTGCTAAATGCAATAATGATGAGTATAGAACTGAATGCAATAAAAGGTTAGCGTTTGAATACTACAAAAAATCTGTAATGAATGGAAGTATTGTTGGGAAATTTTTTTTAGAACAATACTATGAATATGGTATTGGAACTAAAAAAAGATAAGAAGAAATCAATTTTTTAGTATGAAAAAGCAGCCAAATGTGAAAATATAATTGCAAAATACTTTCTTGCAGAATGTTATTGACTAGGAAAAGGAATTAAGAAGGATAAGAATAAAGCATTTGAGTGTTATGAAAATTCGGCCAAAAATAAAATTGTAGATATCCAATTTAAGCTTGGTAATTGTTTTTATTATGGAATTAGAACTAATATAAATAAAGAATAAGCATATCTCTGATATACAAAAGCGAGATATTGCTATGAAATATTTTTTAAAAAGAATTATAATAAAGATATATTATTAGGCTTATATTATATTGGGAAATTCCTAATAAACGCAAGTTACATAAAGGCTTTTTATTACTTTCAAAAAGCAGCAGAAAATGGACATAAAGTTGCATAGGGTTTATGTTATAGAGATGGTAAAGGAGTAAGAAAAAATGAAAAATTGGCTTTTAAATTATTTAATAAATCAGCCAAGCAAGGTTATATGGATGGGAAATTTTGACTTGAATACTGTTATGATAAAGGAATTGGAACAGATATTAACAAGGTAAAAGCTATTGATTTATATATAATTGTTGCTGAAGAAGGAATGCTATGGCTCAAAATAATCTCGTAATTTTATATGAAAATGGCGAAGGGGTAGAGAGAAATATAAAGGCGGCATTTCACTGGTATGAAAGAGCAGCAGAAAATGGAAACAAAAGAGCTCAAAATAATCTTGCCTATTTATATGAAAAAGGTATAGGTACGGAAAAAAATTTAGAGAAGGCCATTTATTTATATAAGAAAGCTGCAGAAAATGGAATAATTGAAGCACAATATAATCTTGGCCAATATTATAAAGCAAATAATGATTTTAAAAAAGCTATTTATTGGTACAATCAAGCAGCACAGAATGGATATAGCGAAGCTCAAAATAATTTAGGGATCTCGTATGAAAAAGGGAAAGGAACAGAAGAGAATTTAGAAATGGCTATTTACTGGTATACCGTAGCAGCAGAAAATGAAAATGAAATTGCACAAACCAATCTTGGAATTTTATACGAAAGGGTGAAGGTGTAGAAAAGAACTTAAAAGAAGCTGTATATTGGTATAATAAAGCAGCAGAAAATGGATGTATTGAAGCTCAAATAAACCTTGGTAATTTATATGAAAAGGGTGAAGGTATAGAAAAGAACTTAGAAGAAGCTATATATTGGTATAATAAAGCTGCAGAAAATGAGTTGTAGTCGACTTCCTAAATTGGGAATTATTATTGGAGGTATTTAATGTCGGTTAAACAAAGTAACAAAGTCACGTGTGAAAAAAGTTTCGGTTTCAGATAAATTAAATTTAACGAATTATTTAATTATGATGTCATTACAGATATGACTAATAGAAATCCTATATTGTAATATGGGATGACTGACGCGTATTGACATTTGCTTATTTTATTAAATTCTCACGGTTTGACTCATTATAGAATTTGTTTTAAACCTGAAGACAAAGGATAACAAACCATACGTCACTCATACATCTTACTGCGGAAATTTGAGTATAAAAATATCCAACTGAAACACTTGACTTTACTTCCTTTTCGCGTTAATTTTCCTCGAAAAAAATCTTTTTTATTAAACAAATTTGTATTAAACCTTCAAAAAAAAATTAAGAAAAGAAAATGGCCAGCACTAGTAGTAAAGGTATGGGAAAAAACATATCAACTGTTGTAGACGGTGGTGGAAAAGGCTTGGGCAAGAATGCACCGGCCGTAAAGAAAGTCTCTAGATCTTCAAAGGTATGTCACAATTATTTTATTTTACCTTCTTTTTTTTTATTTATTTCGATTCTTTGTTTGGAATGCAATACGCCTTTTAGGCTGGTCTCCAATTTCCAGTTGGACGTATTCATCGTCATCTTCGAAAAGGAAATTACGTGCATCGCATCGGTTCTGGAGCACCTGTTTATCTTGCCGCAGTTCTTGAATATTTATCAGCGGAAATACTTGAACTTGCTGGTAATGCCGCACGAGATAACAAGAAATCAAGGATTATTCCTCGACACCTTCAATTAGCTATACGTAACGATGAAGAATTGAACAAATTACTTGGACACGTTACTATTGCTCAAGGCGGTGTCTTGCCTAACATTCATCAAAATTTATTGCCAAAGAGATCCAAGAAAGGTAACTTATAAAATCTTTTTTTTTTTTTTTTAAAAAAAAAATTTTTGATGAGATGAATTTATGAATTTGAATCATGATGATAGCTGAAAAAAATGCTCAAGCCCCACAACCAGAAGGTGATGACGAAGAAGAAGCATAATGAATTATCCCCCTTTTACTTGGATCATGTTAACGGTTTCGGAATCTTATACAACTTTCTTTGCATTTCTTAAAATGCTATGATAGGACACCATTCTTCTTTGTAATAGCTGTAGAAACATTCGCATGGCATCTTAGTACAATGTAGAAAGGACAAAATAATAGCACAGAAATTATTTTTTTTTTAAATTAGTTAAAGAGAAAACGTACATGTTCATATAAAAATTGAACTTGCTAAATTCACTAGAGAAAATATATTTAATAAAAATTGCAATAATAGTTAACCTCGATATCTCGTTCTGTTTTTTTAAATGACGTAATGTCGGCAGAAAGTTGAGATTCATTGTTTTTAGAATTTTTCGTTGATAATTTGTGTAAGAATCGGACATTGAGACTGATAAGCCATAAATGGCAACGTAGCTATGTTTGATATATATGAATATAAGAAGTTCTAGAGGATGAATGTGGGAAAAGCAGTTCTTTATCGACGTAACGGCATTGGTTCGAGAAGACACGTTTAAGCCAAGGTTTCATTCTACTTGTGAAAGGGATATGAAGTCGTAATGCATCAATAAAAGTGAAACAATGAATAACCGAATTTAAGTTTTTTGGATTTGACAATCTAGTATTTAACGTTTGCAGAAAATTCACGGGATAAATTTGCAAGTTCAACATGAACGTAACATTTTAGAGATTTTCCGCAATTAAGAAAAAATTTTTTATTTATAATAAACAAATGTCCTAATTTCAGCTCTACTGGCGAGCGTTAAATACCTTCTTTTTTGAATTTGAAAGTTTACACCTTATAAGTTCGTTAATGTGACTTTAATTAATACTATAAGAACTCGTGGAGAAACAAGTCATATTGAACTAAAATACAAGAAAAAGGGCATTTAAATATCGCCACTAGAGCTAAAATTAGCGGGTGAATAGTAAAAGGACGCTAAATTATTCACCTATCTAAAAATCAAATCACATGGGGGATAAAAGGTTCTATTACGAAAGGAAGATTAAAAAATATATATACCAGCTGCACGCATGGTATTGGTACAGGTTGTAGAGCGGTGACCAACCAATTTTCTAATAAAAATTATTCTAGAAAGATTGTACTAAACCACGGATTAATTATCCGTGGTTGAAAATTTTTGTGATAATCTACAAAAGAAAATTGAACGATGGTAACAATTTTCTTGTAAATAATCAAGGTATTGGTACAGGACTTTAAATATATATAATTTAAAAGTATATTAATCTTTGATAAAGCAAGTGCATTATTTCCTTGAGAAAATAATTCAACTTGACAGTAGGATGTTGTTTTTACAACTGCAATTACAATATCGTTATAAGAATTATATAAAGAATTGAGAAATTTCGACATTTTAATATGTGACGGCGAGAGGAAGATTCCTCATTTTTCGAGAAATAAAAATGTTTGTTATGTTTTATTTAAGAAATTCAAAAGAGCTTATTTTCGTTATTTATTTAAAAACAATTGGTTCAAATAATTGTAGGAATAATATTTTTTTATTTATTTTATTTATTTTTTTTTTAAAAAAAAATTTTTTGAATCTTTTGCATCAAAAAATGCCCGCTTAAATAAACTTTTGACATATCGATCGTGCTAATCTAAAAAAAAATCATCTTTGAAGTCTTGACTAATGAGTAATTGATGAAAGAAAATAGGGGAATCTTCTCTTACTAACCTATAAAAAAAAAAAAAATTATTTCCTTTTGAGACGACGACGTTGAAAAAAATTTTTCTAAATTTAACTTTCCTGTTTTAATTCTTGTTTTTTTTTCTCGTTTTTGGGTAGATCAAATTAGAAAGTTTTAATTTGTAACTGTAATCTGCAAGACAATATTAATTGAGGAAAACTTTGAAAGGTAAATGAAACGGAAAGAGTGAGTGAGCAAATTTTCCCACAACGCCTCATGCGTATTGATTATCACCTCGCAGCTTTTGAAAGGCAGCTTTTTTTTTGAAAGGAATGTATACTGAATTGTTTGTTTAGTCATGTAAGAGAAGTTTTTTTTTGAAAAGATCGAAGTTATCTTCAAAAAAAAACACCTCCCGATAATCAAAAGAAACTGAAATATGGAACATTCGATCCATTGTAATATTTTTTATGCATCCTGGTGCAGAAGATGCTGGTACCTTTACGGATTCTAAAGAATAAAATAAATCGAAGATTATGTAAGTACTTTGTTTATGGACCAAAAAAGACATTAATAATAAAAATGAACTTAACGGCAATTCGATAATGAAATGTAATTGTCTTTTCCTTCGCCTCCTTTCTATTCTTGCCATTCAATCTAATACTCCTTAAATGACTTTACCAAATAAATAATGTTAATTATTCACAAACCCCATGAATTCACATTTATTCATCACAAAAATTTCGTAATTTTCATCCTCTCCTAAATTATCTTCCTTACTTATCCTAACGTTAAGAATCGATAACTTTTGAAATTTTATTAAAATCTTCAAATTCTAAAACCGTAATTATTTAGAATTGATTACAGCCCGATTAATTACCGTTTCTTTATATTCCCCAATAAAGCCTGCGTTACACGCATTGATGCAGGGTTTATAAGAAAACCGTATTTTCACGTGCAATAAATTTAGATCAAAAGATAATCAATAATATCAACTGAAAGTTATCTTTACTTATTTAGACAAAATATATTTTCAAAATAGTCTTCAATTACGGACAAAGAATTCTTTCATGGGCTGTGGTGTGGGTGTTAGATTACAGTCTGAATCAAGTAATAAAAAAAAAAATGATTTCACTTTCAATATTTTATATTCACCTGTTAAATATTCAACTCGTTAATGGACGATGAATGCCCTTAATTGAAAATTGGTGACGGTTTAAGAGAATTAAAGAAGTCACTAAAGATTTCCCACCTCACGTAGGTCATTCGACGTATACTTTTTTTCCCTTTTATGAAATCAATTCTTTACTGACTATTTATATTTAAATGTAGGTAAATTTTTCCATTACGAATCATCATTGACTCATAATTCAATGGCGTTGTTAGCAATCAATTCTTTTCTTATCTTTGGATAATGGTCCCTAATTATGTTAAAATAATTTGATAGACACCTTAAGAGGCCTTAGTTGTATACGAAGTGTGTCTTTATATTGATTATCTTCCTGATGATGGTGAAGTTTGGCAATTTGATGGACTATATCCGTGCCCTGTTAATATTGACAGGTTGGCATTGAAATATTTTTATCAAGTGGATATTTTCTTAATTTTTTTTTATTTGATAATAACCGTGCTGTTCCTTTTTCTTTATTCAGGAAAATATTCCGACAACTAGAAATGGTATGATGCGGCGTGTGAAGCATTTACACAGGAGTATTTATCAATCTATCATGACTGTATAACGATTAAAATTGACTTTGATTAATAGGTTTTATACAGAACAAATCAATTTTGTTCTATTGGAAATAACTAAAGATCAATAGATATGAAGAAAAATGGAAGTAAAGGAGTGCAATATATTCAAAAAAAAAAAAAAAAATGGTTGAAGCTCGTATTAGATGAATGAAATTGCAAGTGGAGAGCTGCTCTTTTGATGAATCAGTAGTATGTAATAAATACTTAAATTAGATGATTATATATACGCCGGCTATTTTTTTATCTATTCTTAGTTACAGGTTTAACTGATGATGAAGAAATCAAAGTTGTTACAAAAGATGTTAATAAGCTTAAAATTACGAATAAACTGATTCGTGTTTACAAAAAAAAATTATCGAACGTGAAATAAATTGAAGCAGGTGAATCATAAATTCAAAATTTTCATTCATTAATTATTATGAAGTTGAACTAAAATTTATGATATCGAATTTTTTTTTTTTGCTTTTTTCAGATTGAAAAGAAGTTGCAAACATTTGATTACGGACTATACATTCGAGAATATATTCCTATTTTACATGAATGTGGTAATTTAAAAGATTTGTTAAAGAATGCTGAGGATGAGGATTATAGTTTTTTAAAATTGTAATAATATATATGTACTAGTGTGAATTGTGTTTACATCGTGAATTTAAAATCTAAACTAATATTTTTAAAAGGTCATTTTTATTTATACAAATATAGTATAATTTAAGAATTTTTAACAAATAAAAAAATCAAAATAAAAATATTAGGTTTTTAAAATAAATATATTTAAAAGTAATTATTAAAAATTTAAATAAAAAATTAAAAAAAAATATATATATATATACCTTTATATAAATTATCAACATATTTTTTTGATTTTTAAATATAAATATATATATATATATATTTTTTTTATTAAATATTAATAATACTTAATATCTAAATATTTATATATTTTAAAATAAATAAAATAAATAATAAATTTATCTAAAAATTTAAAAAAAAATATTAATTTGTTAATAAATATAATATATTAAATATAATAATATAATATATTATTATATAAAAAATATATAGTTTAATTTATATTTTTAACTTTATTAATATTAATTATTTTATATATATTTAATAATTAAATCATTTTATTACTAATAAATCTTAATAAATTATGAAAATTAATAAAAAAAGTTTTTTATATAATAAATTTTATATAATAATATTATAATAAATGTAATTTTTATAATATAATAAATTTATTTTATAATTATAAAATTTCAATTTATAAGTAACTTTAGATAATATAATATTATATTTAGATATAAAAATTTAATTTTCATTAAAAAAATTAAAATAAATAGTAAGTAATAATATTAATATTTTTTAATATATTATTAGTAGAGTAATTGACTAATAAAAATAAAATTACATAAATTATATAATATAATGATCTTTTAATACAAAATTCTGAAATAATATAAAAACTAAAAATATAGATAATTTATAAAATTTAGCTGATCTCTTAAATACTATTAATAAGTCTAATTCTACAAATTTAATAAAATTTAAAAATATTTAATATAATACTTATTTTAATATTCTATTTTTTATTATTTTTCTTATTTTATTACATATTATTATTATTTTAGTTTATTGTATACTTATATATATATATTTAATTAGATTATAATATAGCAAATAATTAACTGTAATAAAGAAATTTTGTATAAATTAAAAGATTATTTACTTATTTAAAAAACTAAATTTAAATACAAATTTTAGTATTATAATAAAGGATTAAAATTTTTAATTTTCTACTTTTTCATATTTTTATATAATCTAACATGATTCTTACATAAAATTTATAATTAAGTTCTTCATTAACTTCTTTAATTAAAATTTTTTTTGAGTTTTTTATACTTAGCAAATTTGTTAAATTTATAACACATAAATTTAAAAATTAAGCAAATTTTAATATCTTAGTTATAATATAATAATTTTAAATAAAAATTTAAAAATGTAGCTAATTCAAGTTAGAGAAAATTATAGTAATAATATTACAAATTAAATATAAATTTATTTATTATTATTATAATAAGTTTTTGTAATAATATTTACTATATTATATAATGGTTTAAAATTTTACAAGTTTTATAAATCATATTTTACTAATAATTTTTTAAAAAAAAATCAATAATTTTTATTAAACATATTTAAATTAAAATTTTCTATTTTAAGTAATAAAATTAATAAAAATATATATATATAATAATAAATTTTTATATCATTAATTTTAATTTACTTTATAAATAAGTAATTTTTAATTTTTAATTTAAAAATTTTTATAATAGTATTAAATTAATTAATTATTTACTGATTTAATAAAAAAATTTTAATAATTTATAATTAACTTAAAAAAAATTAATAGATTAAATTTAATATTTTCTAATAATTATACTATATATAATAATTATAAAAATAATTATAATTTTTAATATTATATATAAATTGAACTTATTTTGAATTTGATAAAACATCTAAATCTTTTAAGGATTTACTAATTTTTTTGAATTGTAAATTTTATCTTTAAATAATTAGTAAAATCTTTAATTTAATAAATTAATTTATAGCTAAAATTACTAAATAAAACTTAAATTTTATTATATATATTATAAATAATAAAATTATAAAATTTATTTATTTTTTAATTATTAATTATTATTAATTTTGATTTATTATTAATATATTTTTATTAGAATTTTGATATTAACTTAATAATTTATTTTATCATTTAAAAATTTTTTTATAATTCATTTTTTAATTATTTTATATATTATTCAATATTTTTTAAAATATCATAAAATATTCAATAATTTTTATCTTTTAAACTAACAAATTTACTTACTTATTTACTATAAATTACCTTCTAATTTATCTTTATGAAAAATTAAAATTTTTAAAAAATTTTTTTTTAAATTAATTTTATAAATATAAATACCATAATAATTTTTATTTTTTTAATTATATAATAAATAATTTAAACTTACTTATAAGATAAAAATTTGTAATTTTAAAAATTTTATTATTGACCTTTAATAATCTTATTAACATTTATTTTTAGCAATATTAATCATAATAGAATATTATAAAATTTATTATAAAAAATAACTTTAATTATTACAATTTTATAATTTACTAAGAAATTTTATGATTTTTATTAATAGTTAAGTGATTCAATTAATTCACAAATATGAATTTTAAGAAAATTTTTGAAAAATTATTATAATAAATATTTTAAACTTAATTTTAAAATTGAATTATTTAAAAACTTTTTAATAAACTTAAATTTTTCTAAAAAATTAAAAAATATATATTAAACTATATTTTTTTATATAATAATTATATTATTAAAATTAATATTTTACAATATATTTTATTCTCTATAGTTTAAGAAATAAAAATCTTCAGATTAGTATATATAATATAAAAATTTAATAATTTAATTAGATAAACTTTTTTTTAAAAATATAATTTATAAATATTAATATTACTAAATTTAATTTAATTTTAAATATAATATTAAAAATTCAAAAATTCTATTTTACTTTTTTATATCTTAATTATTATAAAACTATTTATATTAAAATATTAATAATAATTTTATTTAAATATATTAGTTTTATTATCAAATTATTTATTTAAAATTTATTTTACAAAATAATTTTTAATTTTTTAATTTATAATATATTATTTCTTATTTGGATATTTGGATTATTAAATGATTAATTTAATAATTTAATTAAATTGAAATTATAATTTATATTAAAATTCTATACTTAATAGAATCTATAAAATAAAATCTTAAATTATTAAACTATTTCTTTTTAATATATTTTTTTTTAATTAATTATCTTTTAAAAGTTATTTTAAGAGATTAAATTTATGAAAAATAAATAAAATATAACCATTTATTATATAAGTATACTTTTTCATAATTATCTATTTATACAAAATAAATTAAATTAATAACAAACTAAGTTTTATTTTTTTGTGATTATTAGATAAGTTATTTTTAAAATTTTTAAAAAATAAAAATTAATATAAATAGATAATTACTAATTTAAAATTTAAAAAGAAATTTTCTAAGTTTACATAGTATTTAAATACGTATTACGTTATCTATATTCACTAGTATTACACCCTCTACTTTTAATTTTTATTATTTATTTCAGAGACTTAAAATTTTTTGATAAAAAATTTTTATTTATCATTCATTATCTGTCACATGTTTATTATACAAATAATTTCTTAATTTCTTAATGTTAATAAAGTAATGTTAATATTAGTCATATAAATTGATTGCTAGAAAAATCAGATTCTATGAATTTTTTAGCAAAATTAAGATTTTTATTGCATTTTAATTTTTGATGTTATTAGATTAAAATGTATTAAGCTTTTAATTTTAGTTAAAAATTTTTCAGAATCTGATTTTCCTAGAAACACTTCCATATTATATAATTTATATTCAAATTCCTGTGTATAAAATAAAAATTGCTATTTAAAGAATATTATTATTAAATCTGATTTATATAACAAATTTAATATTTTTTTTATCTTTTATAATTATTTAGTTTATAATTAATTTTTGAATTATAACTAATATAATACAATAATATAATTTAATATAATTATATATTTTATTAATAATAATATATAGTAATTATTTTGGTCAATTTCACAAAAAAGTATATATTAGATGTTAAACTATTATGATTTTTCTATAATATTTATAATTAATTTTATCTTTACTATTAAAAGAATAATAAATTCAATTAAAATTAAATAATAGATTTATAATTAAATATTAATTGATATTTAACTTTAATACATTAAAATAAAATCATAATTTTGTTATATTATTAATATTATAAAAATAATTATCATTACTATTAGTATTATTATATTTACTAAAAATGATCCCCATAATTATTTTCAATTTCAATTGAGTTGCGCCATAAGGAAATTTAATTGCAACTCAGTGTCTATCTTTAATATTTACCACTTATTTGTTTTAAATTAAATTTAATTATTAGAATTTAATGTTAAGAGAATAAGTATTTTAATTTTTAATAGATTTTTTTTTTTTGTTAAGATAACTTAAAGAAGTTGAAAAAAAAAATTATTAATGATCACGCTTCTTTTAATTTAATAAAACTTTTTTATATATTAGTTTTGATCTTAAGTTCATTTACAATTTCAAGCTCATCTGATTTAATTGTAACAAATAGACTTTTTTCAGATTATTTACTAAAATTAAACAACTAACCTACCTAAACCTAAAATAAGCTTAATATAATACTTACCTAACATCATCAATAATAGGGTCAAATAATATAAATCTCATTGTTTCATTTGCGTGATCATGTGGGTTATAACGTTACATTGATTATCACAGTGTAGTTTCTTTATAAAGTTTGTCCTACCAAATTTATGATAATTTTTTTGCCGGCCAAAAAAAAATATAACATGTGTAGTAATTTATAAACAAATAGATTCCTCCGAGTTTCAGGACTCATTTTATTGCATTTTTGCCTACAAAGTTTTTACTTTTTTTTTTTTTTTTAA